CCGGCTGGGGAGCCTTTACCAACCGCGCTGCAACCAAAACAGCCATCGCCTTTTGTTCCTCCTTCTCCCCCACCTCTCCCCCTGCCAAACGTCTCCTCAGGACCCCCCTACACACGAGCCCCAAAACTGCCCCTCTTGCTCTGAGCCTTCCCAAAGCTTTAGGGTCTTATTTCTTAACGCAGCCCCTCGTCCTGTCGGTGACTGCAGGGCCTGGGCTGGCAACAGGGCCTTGGCTTCATGCTGTCTCCCCAAACCCCCTGCCCAAGGGCTGTGACATGGTGGGGTGATGGGCTGCTCCAAAACCAGGCTCTGCTGCCTCAGAAGCTGTGTGAAACGCGGGCAAAAAGGGTCCTGTCCAGCCATGGTGTAATTAAATGAACAAAAGATGCACCCACCAGGCAGAGAAAGGTGGCATGGGGACACTGAGAGCCCCCAGCAGGACAGCAACAGGGTCTGAGATGGTTTCCCTCCGTAAGGAATTGCCAGCTGAGGCTAATTTGCTGCTAAAAACAAGCCAACAGCGATGGGATAAATCACAAAACCTGCTTTTCCCCTCTCCTGTCCTATTTCCCCAGGAAAGCACCTTTTAATGTCAAGCCACAGGCCTTGCGACAGGCCCGTCGGGCTCCGTCTCACACCGTCGCGCTCAGCGCTGGGTTCACCCGGCGCTCGCTCGAGTTTCACGAGGTACCAGCCCCAGCACGACGCGTTGCAGAGCGTGGGCTGTGCAGAAATGCATGTGTTAAACGGATACTTCATGGGAGATGCTGTTCTGGCAGAGGAGGAACAGGCCTAACGTGTCACACCCGAGGCAAACACGAGGTGATCCCGACTCAGCCGCCGGTTGTAGCCGTGAAACTGTGGAGAGGTTTGCAAGGCAGAGCTGTAGGACTGCAAATTTGGGTTTTGTGAGGTCATCCCCATGGCATATCATCATTATCGGCTCTTCTCTGGAGGCAAGCGTTTTCGTGCAATCCCTGCATGTTCCAGAAGTGAGTGAGGAGCTCTGGTGTGAGACGTGAGCACTGGGTTTCTTCCCTCTGAAAAATTGCATTATTTTTTTGGACATGGAGGGCTGGGAATCGGCTGCTCTCGGGGAGTGTCCCTCACCATCTGCTCATACATCTGTCAAATCCACTCACGAACCCCTGCCTGGAGTCCTTGTTCAGGAAACTGTAGGATGGATTAGCACTCCTTTTTCTTCTCTTACACTGCTGTCATGTGAACTCAAGGGAAAATTCAGGTGAGAGTGGTATTTTTTTAGGTTTGAGGCAGGTATGTGCATTTTAAACACAAGCAGTTTAAATCTCCAGGGGAGGCTGAGCTAGAGGGGAAGCCCTTGGCCGCAGCTGGGAGCGTTGGGAGCAGCCAGAGTGCTGTTCCATCTCCCTTTTTTAAAGCCTTTTCAAGATGTTTTATTATTGTTTCAAATTAATATTTCCCTCCTCTGGTGACTGATAAAAGCATCTGAAGTTTTGAATATTTTAACGAATATTTATTCCCTTTCTTGAGTTTTTAAAAATACTATTTTCCTATTGGTTTGACCTTCCTGAATTTTAGAATTTTTTTCTGTATTATATTTTTTTTTAATTGCAATACAATGAGGAAAGCAAAACTGCTGTTTGATTTTGTTTTTCAGGGCCCAAATCCTGCAATGAATCCTCATTCACCCAAACACCTAGGAATGCATAAGTGCAAAACTCAGGATTTCTGGTATTCAATTCACTTGTCATTCTCCAACTGTTTTCTATCAGTTATGTACGTAAATACAGACGCATGAGCTGCTCCTATAAATCTAGATAAATATAAAAACCTTAGAAGACATCTAGATTCATATTTTGCAGCATCTAGTGACTATTACCAAGCTTGGAGCCAAGTTTAAGTTATTTTGACTGTCACCAGAAGTAAACAAAAGATGCAGAGTTTTGACAAGCTACATTATCTTTTGAAGGGTGGGAGGAGTGCATCTATTTTTCACCATAGGCTACATCAGGGGTCTAACATCAGAAGGTTCCTAGTTCTCTTCCATTAAATAGGGTGAATTTAGACCTTTGTGTTTAAAACTTACCTTCATTCCACCAGAGGTTCAACCTATTCTCACATCTCTGATCCAGAGACAACGCAGTGCAGGGAAATTCCATAAATTCCACCCAAGATAATAGTGGTTAGATGAAAAAGCCTCTGTGAGCAACTTCAACCCCAAATTATTTGTGTTTAGACTCACCTGACAGTCCTTCACACATACAGCATGGACTCCCAGCCCTGCTTTAAGCTTTAGTTAAGTCAGCATTTACATCAGTAGCTGCACTGATGTAAATGCTAAAGAACGTTTTCCTTGATGAAAAGTCAATAATGATGCAAATCATTTCAGTAATTTTATTGATGCTGTTTGTGGAGGAAGGAACACAGGCAGCTCCTCCATGTTCACCTCCCCCTTCTGGGGCCTTGGGTTTGTGGATGAATTGCATTGGTCTTTGATGGACAACAAAGGCTCTTTTGTTCTGTCAAAGAAGCAGAGCCAATAATGCCCCAAAGAAGTCAGCTGGGAGAGCTCCACTCACCCGACCAAAACCGAAAGAATAAAGTGTGCAGAAATGCAAATTATCTTTCTTAGAGAATTAACCCCTTCCATAATCCCAACCCTTCTGCATTCCCACAGACAGACCTCTCTAGCTGCCAGCATCTTTTCACTTTCATCCCATTGCCCTGCTTCAGGCTGTCAACCCCAATCCATCAGAATTGTTGATTATTAAGTATTGCATGCTCTTTCTTCACCTCAGAAATTGCAAAAGCCAACTAACTCTCTTAAAACTACTGTCAGGGGCCCAGAAGATCCATAGTGACATATCCTGTACTGACATCCAGCCTCGGGTTTTTTTAATCAACCACATCATTATAGTTGATGAGAACTGTTAGCCTCAAAAACATGTTACACGGTGTCTCCAGAGGCAAGGCTCCTCAGTGAACAAACCTACTCTATGCTAAGAAAATTGCCTTGGAAGGGTTAAATTTTATTTTAAAATTGATCCAGTTACATTGGTAAAATGTAAATAAGATTTTAATTATGCATAGATTTAAACGTAGCTTTTACTGGTTTGATTTAATTCAAAACACTGTCAACATCTAAGTAGCTTCACTTGCATTAAGAGTTGAAGGCAGCTTGATTTTACATGGATTTAATTAGCAAAACTCGAGGAGATGTAACCTGACTCTGAAGAGAGGATGGAGGAGCAGAAGTCAGCACAGTTTCTTGAGTAGTACATGACCAGGCCCTGCTCCACAGACCCAGCAAGTGCTAATGCCCAAAGGCAAGGGAGAAGCTGCCCTCTCCTCCTCTTCCCTCCACCCTTTGGTAAGTCCAGTAACAGCACCATTCAGCTTTTCCTGGCTGAGCCATACTTCAGCTGAAAGGCAGGCACACAGCTTTGTGTTAAAATGCCACAGCATAGCTTTGTAGGATAAAATGTCTTGACTTCCCAGCCCGATGCCACAAGTATGAGGGCAAGTCAATGGAAGCCAGATACTTTGCAATTCTGAAAGGAAATACCTTTTAGGTAACATGTAATCAGCCTGTGGAACTCATTGCCACAGGAGGCTGTTTCGGCCAAGCATTTAACAAAGAAATTCCCTGACAATTCATACCAGTGGGACCTTGCCAACCCTCAGAATCTATTGTAGACCACCATGTAGCTCTAGATCCATGTGGGGCTTTGCATCCTGGTCACAGTGCAGGGGGAGGCTGGGACCATGCATTATGTCTAGTCTCTGTGGAATATTGCTTGGACCCTCTTTGAAAGCAAGGTTTCATCTACAGATCAGCTGCAGTCTTCTTGTCACAATAGTGTCTATACTTGGGACCCCATGCTCTTTAGAGCAGTCCCCTTGCTACCCAGATTAGAAGACCTGTTGGAGTACACTGTGTTTCCCCTCCAGCCTGTGAGCTGAGGCTCTCTTCCCATGTAGGCAGTGCAGGCAGGATGGTTTGTGATGTCTAACACAGGGTCAGTTCATGGCTGGACTGCAGAACCAGGCTTCTCAGAGCCCTAACACAGAGAGCACTAGTG